ACTTAAGCGCCCCTCCCCCCCTCCCCCCCACTGATCTCATCCCCCTGACCTGAGTTCGCAAAGGTCGGTCGGGATATGGGACATGTACATAGTAGATTCTTATTTATTTATTTATTTATCTATTTATTTATTTATTTATTATTATTATCATTATTATCATTATTATTATTATTATTATTATTATTATTATTATTATTATTATTATTATTATTATTATTATTATTATGATTATTATTACTAATATTGTTATTATTATTATTATTATTATTATTATTATTATTATTATCATTATTATTATTATTATTATTATTATTATTATTATTATTATTGTTATTATTATTATTATTATTATTATTATTATTATTATTATTATTATTATTATTATTTTCATGGCGTTTGATTTCAGCTTTGGGACTTTTTAGACCAGTGTTCCTCCTCTCTCTGTTTTTTGAAGTGGTGGAGATAGATATAGTACCTGCAAATAAATCTGTTTTTTTTTTTCATTTTTCGTTCGTTTACTCCCACTTTCTTTATTGCGACAACAATGTTTATGATGTACTCTGTTATTATGTTCTCGCTCGACACTTCTCTCTCTCTCTCTCTCTCTCTCTCTCTCTCTCTCTCTCTCTCTCTCTCTCTCTCTCTCTCTCTCTCTCTCTCTCTCTCTCTCTCTCTCTCTCTCTCTCTTCTCTCTCTTTCTCTGTCTCTGTCTCTGTCTCTGTCTCTCTGTCTCTCTCTCTCTCTCTCTCTCTCTCTCTCTCTCTCTCTCTCTCTCTCTCTCTCTCTCTCTCTCTCTCTCTCTCTCTCTCTCTCTCTTTCTCTCTCTATCTATCTCTATCTATCTCTCTGTCTCTTTCTATTTTCTCTCTCTCTGTCTCCGTCTCTCCCTGTCTACTCCCTCACACACACACACACACACACACACACACATACAGACGCATACATACACAATTTACATTTTTTCCCGCTGTCCTTCATACTGATACAATAAACACACCAATAGCAAATTTCACCAAATGAAGTACAGCTCTAAGAAATTCTCCCGAGAGGTCAGAGCTCAGGATGCCCCACGCAAAACGTCATTCACTCAGGATATTAGAGAATCACCGTGAACAGGAACGCTAGCGGACTATGCTAACGTGATTATGCTTGAGCTCACATTTTGCTTGATTAAAAAGACTCTGACCCTCCCCCCTGATCCCTCCCACCCCTCCCCGTAACACCCCCCTACCCCGTCTTTATTCCCTCCTCCTCCCTCTTCGCTCTCGGCCCCTCCCTCCCTCCCTCCCTCCCGCCCCGCCTCCTTTCCCATCACCTTTTTACAAAAATACTGTGTAGTTATGTTTTCTATTGTATTGCATTAAAGGTGTATTCCCCTCTAAGTGGTTAGGGATATTTACCTTACTGCACACCAAATTATGACTGGAAACATCTCTTTTATTCTGAACACTTGATATGTATGTGTACATACTGTATATATATCCATAGATATTTGCAAATCATATATATATATATATATATATATATATATATATATATATATATATATATATATATATATATATATATATATATATACATATATATACATATATATATATATATATATATATATATATATATATATATATATATATATATATTTAATATATATATATATATGTGTGTGTGTGATTTCGAAATATGTGTTTCCTTATTTATATGGATATGTAGAATGCCTTGATGTATTATTTTCCTCATATTGTCAAATTCTAAAGTCCAGGAATTCAAACCCACCAACGTGACAAAATTCAGACCCCATTTGTTGACTGTCAGATATGGTTCACGAAATGGAAACATATCTGATATATTCACGAGTCATTATATTATGCTCATTAATTCATCTGTGTATTTTCTTTATGAGGGAGAGTAACGAGCATAATTGTTTCCAACCTTTTTTTCACAATAATCTAAGTCTTTTTTGTATTTAAGCTCGCACTAACTTGGTTCTTCATCTTCTTCTTTGCATGTACCTCACCCTCGACGCCAACGACGCGGCCGCCCATTGGACTCGACGCAATAAAACAACGACAACAACTAAATTTATTCCGGGGTACGAAATAATGTCTTGTTTTTTTATGCATTTTATTTGGTATTTTTTGTGTCTTGATGACATGCACATGCACACGCATACGTGTGTGCATACGCATATGCACGCACACACACACACACACACACACACACACACACACACACACACACACACACACACACACACACACACACACACACACACACACACACTTTCGCGCTCGCACAAACAACTGAACGGAAATAACAGACCAAAAGTTCGAGTGATTCAGACCACTCAGTGGGCGGTCTAAGAACGGCCTCTTTGGACCGTTTGGGCCGCAGGTCGAACGCCCACCCGGCCGCTCACGCCCATGCCCACGCCCACACCCCTCATTACACTCTCCCCAGGCGCCCGCCCGCGACCCAGAGGTATCAGCAGCAACCCAAGGTAAGTTCCGGTTCCATTTTCTCTCCAAAGTCCAGCAAAAGTTTGTGTCTGTGTCTAACGGCTCGTGGGTGACACCATTACAGTAAGTCCCGGTGTGCTCTAACACAGAATATCTTCATTTGGTCCAAAGACCGAGCTTTTTATACTATAACGTGTAAATGGGAGCATCGTTGTGAGTCAGGGCGAATGCAAGGAAACTTACCTGCATGAATATAATGTCAAGTTCCACAGTTTTAATTTCTTGGGTTTGGGAAAAATACCACAGAAAAAGGAAAGGGAAGAAGTAATAGCAGTATGGAATGAAAATAACGAAAACGGGATAATATTAACGAAAGCAGTTCTTTCGCCTAAGAAAAGGGTTTGCGTTGGAGGAGAAACCCTTATTTCAGCCTGCGAATTATAGTAAAATTCCAAATGGAGCCTGGGCATTTTCGTCCGTACAACGCCGTAACATATAGCCCATTATAACAGATCGTATAACGCACATTTTCAATGCACTCTTCGGCTAGTTAATGGAGCAGACAAAGAAAGTTGTTTACGACTCCGGATATAAATTCTGATATACCTGGAAAGCTGCTGCTGAACGTGCCTTACTTGGCAAATCTTAGCGGGAAATTTACGGATCTTGAGAAAAGGTGGGAGAAAAAGTTGATGGTTTATCTGTTTGATCTTTTTATTGATTCACTTTATATATATATATATGTATATATATATATATATATATATATATATGTATATATATATATATATATATATATATATATATATATATATATATATTTATATATATGTATATGTATATATATATATATATATATATATATATATATATATATATATATATATATATATATATATATATGTATATGTATATATTCGCAGTTGCGAATCCTGGGCGAAGCAGGAAAAGTATGAAAGGAAACAACAAGAAATGTAGAAAAAATGTGTTATAGGAGGGAAATGAACAGATCACTTATTTGCATGAAAACAAATCTGCGAACAGATAAGTAAAACATAAGTAACTCAGAACAAGCCGAACAATAGGGAACACATTTTATGAGCTTAACGAAGCGCAGAGCTAATTCCCAGCAAAAAGTTTCGTTAATCAAAGAGATATTGAGGGTTACGAAATGAGATACGAGTTCTCAGGTTATTGGAAAGTCGGACTTAACAAAAGATCTGTTGATAAGGTTATTGGATAAGGAAAAATCTATAGCTGTAAGAATACGTTATTCAGATTTCACCCCCCGTTTCATAACGATTCAGTGACAGCTAGTGAAGATAAAGGACAGATTTGCATGATAATAATTTTTCTTGATAACTGTAACGTATTTTTGGAAATGAATGAGGAATTTAGGAAGGCAAAGATTTCACAGTAAAAGACATGCATTTTGGAGTTAAAGGAAAGTTATACGAATGTGTTATTGATGCAGAATTGTAAAGATTGTGAAAAATAGATGGTGTAAAGTTATAATTACAAACATCATTTGAGAATAGGATAGGTTTAGGATAATTTTGATTATAATATTTTAATATGATTAATTCCGTTTAATGTTATTTTTTGATTTAGGACGATTATAATAATAATTATTATTATTATAATATTATTATATCATTATTATTATTATTATTATCATTATTATTATTATTATTATTATCATTATTGTTGTTGTTGTTATCATCATTACTATTCCATATATCCATTTTTTAAAAGAAAAAAAGCTTATGAAATGCACTCTATTTATAATATGGAAGTGCTTGTCTCACTTGAGCGCAGGTAAGGACGAAAATGACTTCACGGGGAAAAGGCAAAGTATGGAATAAGCAATTACGGAATTTTTAATTTCCGTGCACAGTCTGAACATAAACATCATTTAGGGGAAGGAAAACAAGGAAAACAAGGCCAAAGTGAAGGGGAAAAAAGCAATATGCATTACACACTCGACTGAGGAAGATTTTATTAATATATAACGGTAAAGGATAAGAGTAATGATAACAGTGGGCGTAGAAGCAGTAATTGTAGTAGTACTATTGTTGTAAAAAACAGTAGTAGTAACTCTCGTACTAGCAGGAGCAGGGCAGGAGCAATAGTAGTAGTAGCAATAATAGTAATGACAATAGCAATAAAGAGCAAAAACAATATCACTACCACTACTATCACCACCACTCTTTCTACCACCACTAACTTTACCCCAATTTGTGTTACTATTACTGCAGTATTAATCCTATTTCTATTGTTAACACTGCTGCTATTACTACTACTGTGACTGCTGCTACTATTACTGCTATTACTGTCCAGTTTCTGTTGTTATTAATGTTACTGTTACTATTACTAATGTTACTACTTCTACTATTAGTAAATAATAATAATGATTATGATAAAATAATATGATAATGATGACAGCAGTAATACTGATAAAAGTAATGATAATAATGATAATAACAATGATAATCGTAATAATGGTAATTATTATACCAACGGTTATGCCAACGGAACATAGAAAAATACATTCTCTACCTTCGACATATAATAACCTTCATCTATCCATATATAGTACCCCCACACAACCATTCTTCACAACACCTAAAAGAGTAAAACCGTAAAATAGAGAGAAAAAGGAATAACCGGCACCTCCCGTCCGCCGCACCGCGAGGACCGTCATCCGGGTATTAAAAGCGACGGGTGATTACGGGCGGCGGTGAGTCCTCGCGGGAAATTAAAACAAAAGGTCTCGTAATGGCCGGATTAAGAGAGATTTAGCGAAGGAAAAGAGAGATAAGAAATTATTAGAAATTATAAGAAAAGGGGGAAATATACGGATATCGATAATTGAAGGACGCGCACACGCATGCACGTACGCACACACACATATAACAAACTAGATTAAAAGATAGATCGATATATAAATTATATATATATATATATTGTACATGTATTCTTATATGTATATAAATATATTGGTAGATAGGTGGATAGATAAGCATAGGCTAATATGAATTCGTACGATCTGTACATTCTTGGACTGTTTACCCAGCTAACAAAAGGAACAGAAAATGAAAATCCCAAAAGAAAACGTAACAATGCCGTATTGCTGCAGGTCGGGGAACGCTAGAAACTATGTAAATGTTGTGATTGTAGATAGGAAGTAAGATACACTTTACTTTACTAAATATTTCTATATATGAAATAAATCAGAAAGAAAGAAAGAAAGATACGAAATGAATAGGTGTTCTTGTAAAAGCGAAAAGACAGTTGCTGAATTACAGCAAGAAATACGCCTCGAAAACGACAACCACACCTCACGCAAAATGCAATCCGAATTTTCCTCGATTTCTTTTATCCATTATTCTCTCTCTCTCTCTCTCTCTTCATCCAATTATCAAAGTTTGCGAAATGAGATTCATAGTGATTGATGGCTCCTCCTTTTCCCGCCTTCCTTGCCTCACCTGCTCTCCCCCCCCCCCCTTCCTTCTTTCCCCGGCCCCGCCCCCTCCCTTCCAGGCCATAGAGACCGCGGGCATAATGCAACTCATCTTAATCTTCGTCTAAATCCTCGTCCGAATTGGCACTTAAGAAAATTTAAGAGTCGCTTAAATTGACCGAGAATGGCGGCGTTCTTTTCTTTCAAAACTGTGGACGGATACTTTTACTCGAGTCGTTAATACGTTTTTTTTTTCTTGATAGTTATTACGTATCAGACACTTTGATTTTTTTTCTTGTTAGTTATTACGTATCAGACACTTAGATTATTTTTCCTTCGATCGTTATTATTATTTATGCTTTATTTATTGTTATTATTATTTTTTTGTAATTCTTTCTTATGTTAATCATTGAATGTGATGATTGATTGAAGGCTTGGTATATTCTTCAAGGGATACAGACTTATTTTGGGTTTGGATATTTTCCTTCTCAATATTTCCTGATTTGTTGTCCCTCATTTTTGCGGTAAAAGCTGGACTTTATATATACTTTTCATCCGGAAAATAATTATAAATCCGTAATTACTATTTTTTTCTCGAAAATCTGGAGCGGCTTTTGCGTTCACATTTTCCCAGATTTATGTAATTAAGTTAATTGGGCCCCGCATCATTTATTCTAATCGATAAAAATTGAAAATAAAAAAACAACCGCAATGTAATATATTTACTGTATTATTAGTGTTTTTTTCCCCTTTCGGCTAAAATATTTGACCCATCGTATCCTAGTAGGTCGTTTCAAAAAAAGAAGAAAAAATAGTGAATAAAAAACGAAAAAAAGGAGCAACAAAAAACAAAAGAAAAAACAACAACAACAACAGATGAAAGAGACACAGTCAGCATTGCTAAAAGAAAGAAAGAAAGATACGAAATGAATAGGTGTTCTTGTAAAAGCGAAAAGACAGTTGCTGAATTACAGCAAGAAATACGCCTCGAAAACGACAACCACACCTCACGCAAAATGCAATCCGAATTTTCCTCGATTTCTTTTATCCATTATTCTCTCTCTCTCTCTCTCTTCATCCAATTATCAAAGTTTGCGAAATGAGATTCATAGTGATTGATGGCTCCTCCTTTTCCCGCCTTCCTTGCCTCACCTGCTCCCCCCCCCCTTCCTTCCTTCCCCGGCCCCGCCCCCTCCCTTCCAGGCCATAGAGACCGCGGGCATAATGCAACTCATCTTAATCTTCGTCTAAATCCTCGTCCGAATTGGCACTTAAGAAAATTTAAGAGTCGCTTAAATTGACCGAGAATGGCGGCGTTCTTTTCTTTCAAAACTGTGGACGGATACTTTTACTCGAGTCGTTAATACGTTTTTTTTTTCTTGATAGTTATTACGTATCAGACACTTAGATTTTTTTTCTTGTTAGTTATTACGTATCAGACACTTAGATTATTTTTCCTTCGATCGTTATTATTATTTATGCTTTATTTATTGTTATTATTATTTTTTTGTAATTCTTTCTTATGTTAATCATTGAATGTGATGATTGATTGAAGGCTTGGTATATTCTTCAAGGGAT